CTCCTACTACAACAACTACTACCACTACCACCACTGCCACTACCACTACCACTACTACTACTACTGCTGCTGCTGCTGCTACTACTACTGCTGCTACTACTACTACTACTACTACTACCACTACTTCCCCTCCAACACCGGAATGCAGCAGCCACTATTGATTTTTTTTTTTTTTAGGGGCATTCTCTTGCTTTGTCAGCTCCTACAATCCTTCAGTGGTTTCGTTCTTATACTGCATTCTTGCGGCCACTCTCTACACCCCAAACCCTAAATCCCAAACCCTAAACCACAAACCCTAAAGTCCTAAACCCTAAACCCTAAAGCCCTAAACCCTAAAGCCCCAAGCCCTAAACCCTGAAGCCCAAAATCCCACAACCCGAAGATCCCAAACCCCGAAGACCCGAAACCTTAGATCCCCAATCCGAGAAAGGCATGCGTTGGAAGCCTTGTAGTAATCTGGGTTCTGGAGTACCATACTTGAATACTTTTCTTTGGGACCTGTTCCTTAAGGGAACCATTATGAAATTAAAGTCTATACTTTTTTCTCCCAAGTTATTTCAAAGTCTAGCAATGCTTGTAGACGGCTCCTACGGTTTAGGGTTTAGGGTTTAGGGGTTTAGGGTTTAGGGTTTAGGGTTTAGGGTTTAGGATATAAATCCTGCACTACCCATAATAAGGAACATACCAAAATTCCATAGTTTAGGGTCCTTAAGGTAATGCAGGATTCATATCATCAACAGTAGTACCTAATGTAGAAGCCCGAACTGTTACCCAAATTGTTCCTTAGGGCTTCAATCGTAAAGTATACTATCCATATCCTAGTATTAGAGCCCTGATCATCGAAGCCTTACAGGCCCGTTTGAAAGGAACCTTTCAAGGAACCCTCAAAGGAGCCCTTACAGGAACCCATCACTGGCCTTCATTAAAAACCCGAAACCCTAAGCCCCTAAACCCTAAACCCGATACCCCCAAACCCTAAACCCCAAGGACCTAAAACCCTAAAGCCCTAAACACCCTAAACCCGAAACTCTAAACACCTAAACCCTAAACCCTAAAACCCTAAAGCCCCAAGGCCCTAAAACCCTAAAGCCCTAAACCCTAAAACCCTAAAGCCCTAAAGCCTTAAAACCCTAAAGCCCTAAACCCTAAACCCTAAACCCGAAACCCTAAAGCCCTAAACCCTAAAGCCCGAAACAGGTCCTCGGCTACCATGCGAGGCTCGACTCCGACCGGACGGTGACCGTCTTCGAAGGGCTTCTAGCCCTGGCCGGCTGTACAGACCCTCGTCCTGCCTAGGCTTAGGGTTTAGGGCTTAGGGCTTGGGGTTTAGGGCGTAGGGCTTGGGGTTAAGGGCGTAGGGCTTGGGGTTTAGGGTTTTGGGTTTGGGTTCAGGGTTGAGGGGTTTAGGCTTAGGGTTTTTTCGCCAGACACCAAGCCCTGCAACTGAAGCAGAGAGACCCTGAATCCTGAACCCACATCTTGACTTAATAGGACAGGTTCCCTTTAACTTTTTGGAGTATTATAATCCCTACATAGCCCCAAAGGTTAACCTCTAGTTCTCCTAGCAGGATAGCGGACAAGGAAGGTTTGACTTTCCCGGTTTGGAACATGTCGGTCCGACGCAAAACCCCAACCCCTAAACCCAAACCCCTAAACCCTACACCCTAAACCCTAAACTCTAAACCCTAAACCCTAAACCCCAAACCCCAAACCCTAAACCCTGATTCCTAAACCCTAAGCCCTAAACCCTAAACCCTAAACCCTAAACCCGAGACTTCGATTCCGCGTCTCAGGATTTCGACTGCACGTCAACCGTGGAGCGGAAGTGGCTTGACTGGGTTTTAGGGATGTAGGGTTTTAGGGTTTTAGGGTTTTAGGGTTTTAGGGTTTTAGGGTTTAGGATTTGGGGGTTTGGGGTTTAGGGTTTAGGGTTTAGGGGTTTAGGGTTTAGGGTTTAAGGTTTTAGGGTTTTAGGGTTTTGAGGGGGTCTCTAAAGTAGGGTAAGTCGGTCGCCAAAGCACGTCACACTTGCAAGAAGGACCCACGTTTAAGTGGACCCTAATCTAGAGAGCTTCCTATGCAAACATCCACAAAGCCCGATCTGTCTACATGGGATTTGTTCGAGTACACGAGCTTGATACAAGCCGGATGACAAGGAAACCTAGCAGGGCAAACGGATGCCGCTAGAGTTGTTCAGAAACCGTGTCAAGCCCGACATGATACAAGGGCTTAAATCGGCAGCAACGGCTTTATCTAGGACGACAAGGCAGAGCGCTTTCTCTTACAAAAGGTCCACAGCCCCATTTCCTTTTGGGGAGTTCTGCCTAACACCCTAAGCCCCAAATGCCCTTATTGGAACGATACAGAGAAGATTTGCATGACTCCTGTGCAAGGAAGACACGCACGATCGAGAAGTGTGCCAAGTTCAAAACGGCTTAAACTCTTAACCCTAAACCTTAAAACCCTAACGCCCTAACACCCTAGCACCCTAACACCCTAAACCCTAACACCCAAAAGCCCCAAAACCCTAACACCCTAAAACCCTAAAGCCCTAAAACCCTAAACCCTCAAACCCTAAAGCCCTAAAACCCTGACACCCTAAATCCTAAAACCCTAAACCCCAAAACACAAAACCCTAACATCCTAACACCCTAAACCCCAAAACCCCTAAAGCCCTAAACCCTAACACCCCAACACCCTAAACCCTAAAACCCTAAATCCTAAACCCTAAAAACCTAAACGCTAAAACCCTAAACCCTAAACCCCTCAACCCTAAAACCCTAAACCCTCAACCCTCCTCTCTTCACATAAAAAACCCTCCTCTCTTCAGGCATGTGGCAGTAGAGAGCTGGCTTAGCGAAGTCATCACTCTCTACCCAGCTTTTCGAGATGCGCACCCCGCAATTTGCCCGGAGGACTTGGGTCCCTTAGAAGGGTTCCCTTTGGGTTTCGGGTTTAGGGTTTAGGGTCTAGGGTTTATGATCTATATGAAAAGTTGTTTTTGAGGTTGCGACGGGTTTGTGAAAGGGTTTCGTGAGGATCCTTCTGTTTTGGGTTGTGGAGAATGAGGAGTAGCTTGTTTGGGGTCCTTTTCTTAGGGATCCAGCTGTTCGCCGTCCTTGTCGCAGGTTTTTTGACTTCCCCGAACTGTTAATACCAACTCACCCCTAAACCCTAAACCCTAAACCCATAACCTTTAAGATTCGGGACTGTGAGGCCTCCTGCAGTATCCCAAGGGCGGCAAACCTTAACACCAGGACATGGGTACCATGGGCTACTTCGGGAACCACAACCTCTTCGTCAAGGCCCACGTCAGAGACGAGGCTTACCACGACGTCGGGCTCGCCCTGGAGTTCTACAGGACCGGCGTTTTCAAGTTCAAGCTGAAAGCACCTTAAACCCTAAACCCTAAACCCTAAACCCTCAACCCCCCCACTCCCAGCCCTACAGGGCCGGCGTCGTCAAGCTCAACCGGAAAGCCCCGAAAGCTCTCCAAACCCCCCAACTCCCAGCCCTAATAGTAGTTCCTTTTTGGGGTTCATATTCAGAATCCTACAGGGTAATCCCCAAAAGGAACTACAATGGGGCCTATGGGAGCCCTAGAGTTCCATCCAGGGTTGAGTTTTCGGGGTTAGGGTTTAGGGGTTTAGTGGTTTAGGGTTTAGGGTTTAGGGTTTAGGGTTTAGGGTTGAGTTTTTTGGGGCCTTTGGCTTTTGGGCCTTGGGGTTTAGGGTTGAGCTTTTGGGGTTCAAGGTAGAGGGCAGCGCTTTGGATAGGGTGTGATATAGGGGCCTTAAGAATTAGAATAGGGTTTTGTATAATCACTGGGTTCTGGAGTACCATACTTGAGAATACTTTTTTTGGGGACCTGTTCCTTAAGGGAACCATTATAAAATTAAAGTCTATACAAGTCTATACATCTTTCTCCCTGGTTACTTTAAAGTCTAGATAAGGAGCTGCCAGTATAGTATTAATAATCTAGGGCCCTATTAGGAGGTGTATAAACACTTCCCTAAAGGTTTCCAGGAGCGACAAGACGAGCCACCATGGGTCTAGGGTTTAGGGGTGTAGGGTTTAGGGTTTAGGGTTTAGGGGTTTCGGGTTTCGGGTTTTGGGTTTCAGGGTTTAAGGTTGAGGGGTTCCAGAGACCCTAAACCAATATCTCCAGGAGCTACAACACGAGCCACCATGATCCCAAGAGGTACTTCGACTCTTTTACAGATATCCCACAGTCGGAGTTTTTTCCATGTGACACCCCGGGGAACGAGTTTGTGAATACCGTGCGGATGGATCTCTACGTGCAGTACACTGGGGATGAGGCCGGGGTCACACTGACGCCCGAGGGCTATGTGGCTTACTGCCCAGATGGTTATTTTTGGCTTTCGCCTGCCTGTCGCCACGACCCATCCAGCTGCATTCCCATCATTGCGGCAGGCGCTCAGGGCCGATCCGGAGATTTTATTTCGTGTTCTTAAACCCCCAATTCTCAAGGTTGTACAACACTCGGCTCGAGCACAGGCAATGGTTGGATTATCGATGCTCAGATGCAGTGGGCCACTGCTTACGGATTCCCCGCCGCGATCGGCATCGCCGCAACCTGGGACCTGTACGTCCATCAGGTGCTTGCGCCCCCGAAAAGTATATACCCCGAACGCACAAACCGGATTTGAAGTGGCCTTTGACGCCCCCCTGCATGCTCGTGCTGCTTAGGACGGCAGAATCGGAGACAACAATCATGGTACAGACAGTATCACGCAGTCACACAGCATCGGACAGCTTCAACATGTTGCTACTTGTAGTTGTCTTGCTAGCATTGTCATAAAGCCTATGTGTTTGGTTGCATGTCTATCTATTATCTATCTATCTATCCATCTATCTGTCCGTCTGTCTATCTATCTACCGATCTATCGATCCATCGATCCATCGATCTATCGATCTATCGATCTATCTATCTGTCTGCTTGTCTATCTATCTGCCTATCTATCTATCTGTCTGTCTAGCTATCTATCTATCGATCCATCCATCCATTCATATATGGATCCATCTATCTGTCGATCTATCGGTCTATTTATCTATCTATCGATCTATCTATCTATCTGTCTATCTATCTATCCATCCATCCCTCCATCCATCTATCTATCTATCTATCTATCGATCTGTCGACCTATAGATCTATCGATCTATCGATCTATCGATCTATCGATCCTTCGATCCATCGATCTGTCGATCTATCGATCTGTCGATCTGTCGATCTATCGATCTGTCGATCTGTCGATCTATCGATCTGTCGATCTAGCGATCTATCTTTCCGTGTGCGTGTCTATCTATCTGTCTGTCTATTCATCTATTTATCTATCTATCTATCCATCGATCTGTCGACGCAAAGCAAAGCCAAAATTGCTTGAAAGGGGGTTTGCCACCTCGGCATTGCATGTCACCCTAAACCCTAAGCCCTCAACCCTAAACCCTAAACCCTCAACCCTCAACCCTAAACCCCCAGGTGGCTACATACAAGACCCTTTTCTATTGGTGGGAACCCGATGCGACGCACATGCAACTCGGCCTTGTCTTGGAGATCACGTGGGAGTTTATGGTTAAGGTTTAAGGTTTAGGGTGTCGGGGTTTAGGGTTTGGGGTTGGGGGTTTAGGGTTTAGGGTTTAGGGTTTAGGATTTAGGGTTTAGAGTTTAGGGTTTAGGGTTTAGGGTTTAGGAGTGAGACATGTTGTGGTGCAGTTAGTCCAAGGAGTTCATCAACAAAAGTATTCTGCTGTATGACACAGCCCATGTTTCCGAGAAAGCCCTTCGCAAAGTCAAGCCTGCGATCATGTGTTCTGAAGTATTGATAGAACCCTAAGCTCGTAGCAATCCCTCATAGTAACCCTTTTTGCCTCATACTACCCTTGCTGTAACTGTAACCTGCTATTTCCATTGAGCTTACCTGCCTTTGCTTTTCTGATGCCGCTTCAGGGCTTAATAGGAACTTTGCTTCCCGTACCATGAGGACGAACACAAGACTTTGGGTGTAAGGTTTAGGGTTTAACGAGGACGAATACCCTAAGCCCTAAACCCTAAACCCTAAACCCTAAACCCTAAACCGTAACTCCGAATGTTTGCCGATGTGACTGTTGTTTGGTATTGTCAGAGCGAACTAGTCGCCAGTCGAAAGCAACAGGGATTAAGTTGATGTGCGACTTGAGTGTTAATAACACTGCTATCACAAACAGAGGGTTTGGCTCCGATGTTTAGGGTTTAGATTTTAGGCTGAGCGTTTCGGGTGTAGGCCTCACACTAAGTCGTCACTTTTCGCCTTGAAACCAAAAACCTTTGTGACCGCATGATGTACACATCTACGTAGCACCCACGAACTAAGCCCCAAGCCCAAACCCTAAACCCTCAACCCTAAACCCTAAACCCTAAACCCTAAGCCCAAACCCTAAACGCCCCCCATCCTTTGACCGCCTAGGCTCTCTGCCCGGCTCCAAATCTAAACCCTGAACCCCGGGAGCCCCCGAAACTCCACCACCCGAAATCTTAAACTCCAAGACACCAGTGTGGTTATATTGTACTTTTTATATACGATACCGTCTTATGCTATTTTAGATTATGTTGGTCTAGATTAGGTTGTACTGCATCATCTTGGATTATGTTATCCCATGACCCTGAACCCTAAACCCGAACAGCTGCTAGTTGCCCCGAGGCAGCTCAATCCGACCGGGATGGTCTTCCCACGCCACATCGCCAGTGAGTGGGAAGCCGGGAATCTGAGAACCGCAGGCAACAGCTTTGGGCTTTATGTGGTGTTCAGGGTGTTGTATGGATTTTCAATCTTTTCGGGTTTTGTAGTGAACCCTAAGCCCTAAACCATACATAAAAGGATATGGGATAGAGGTTCGGGGGCGGGCGTTTGAGGATTTTTGGGATTGGAGCCATTAAACCCTAAACCCTAAACC